TCAATACTTCCTTGACAATTCAGTATTATGATTCGTCTACCATAGTTTCACATGAGGCCTGGCAGCTTATCGTAAAAGTTTAAAAAGGCAGAAAGGTTTAGGAGCTAAGGGGAAACGGTAACAATACGTGCCCCGCTCTCCAAAACCAACTTGACTGTATAAAAGCTGGTATAAGGAATATCCAGATGATTCGTTATGCCAAAAATGTTCTTCAATAACAACTACATTTGAGCAGTGGCAATCTATGAGAAACTTCTACCCAATATTAGTGTTGAGGAATTATTATTACCGTGAAGTTGACGTTTTTAACCCAATGGAGAACTGTGTACGGATGGTGAATGGATGTTTTTTTACTATTGCGCATGTATTTCAAAGATTAATATGTGGCAACTTGTACTTACAACCGTAACACAAACTGAAACAGGCGAAAGTTATTCGTTCATGAGATTCACTTAAACAATGCAGGACGCTAAAATTTACTGATGTAAAGGGATAGATCAGGCGAGGGGTCCATCCAATCTTATACCGTCAACTGCTTATGTAGCAACTACGAATAACAGGCGAACCAAAATATTTGTCAAATGTAGCGCATTTCAACTTAATTTTTGGAAGCCGAACAAACTATAACCGAATACGCCTCTAAGTCAAGGTAGTCATTCATGCACTCTTCCGCAGGTTCAGTCCTGATGTGTAATATATGGTACAGTTTGCCTTACGAAAGAGCAGTGGGGTTAAATAAATGAACTCGTTAAAGTTAGCGGGTAACGGCTTGGCCATCATCTTCTACACCGAGTGTCGTCGCCACGGATCCACCGCTAGTTTTCCAGTGGCTCCCTGATTATAAACATATAGGAAGATGAGTGAAGAGAAACGTTGTGCTGTCTGATCCGACACGTTCTTCAGTTCGGATAGGGGATTAATGAAATGAAACGTTGCAGTGTCAAGTGTTACGTCCCAACCAGATCAGTTTCAGTAATCCGGATCTGCTTTCTAACTTTGCGGCTGTTACGGGCTAAATATTGCACTGAACTGTTGTCGCTATTAATGATCGCATACGTATCTGTGAGCATGTTTCCTGTTAATTCACTGCCTTAGCACGAACGAACAGACGCAATCGTAATCACAGGATCATTTGTGGCATAAATCAATACATCTGCTTTCAAATACAATGTCGTAAACTATAAGTAAAAATATTCCGTTTTTATCGGACGCCGATCGGATATCTTGGGCTTTGAATATTTAAGTGTTCGTATAGGGGTGAGTTTTAGAGAGTAGAAATGGGATGTAATTGCAATAATGGGTACATTCGAAAAAATCTACGCCCGTCAACATTAACAAGAAATCAACATAATCAAAAGAAATGGCCCGTCGCAGCTGGTCAGAGGCAAGCCTGCGCTATACGTATCTGCAAACATGTTTAAAATACGCTCATTTTATTACGACGCCGAATAAATTAAGTTGCTATTGATAGTCAATGCGACAGGAAAACCCAGCTGTCTGCATAAAAACGCCACACTGACATCAACCTATATCTGTGAGGAACGCGCATCCTACAAAAATGCAATCACCACGCGCCTGTATTGTCTGAAGGTGCCTTCCAAGCCTATCGTGACATGATCAACGTCATGGTCAATTCGAATACGTACAGACGCACCTATTTAGGCATAATCTCAACGTGTTACGTATCCTATCGATTACTCAGCGTTGCCACTTACAAATATAACACTTGCAAATATAACATTTAGGTTAGTCGGGGGCTGCCGCAGTTGTCATTGCTGATACTGCAACAGCGTCGGTGGTCGCTCATGTTGCGCAAGGGGTCTACCCAGCGCAAATGGTCATAGAGCTATTTCGTGCTGAAATCGGTAAAGCAAATATGTACGAAGAATGAACGAGCAGTTTTGGACCCAGTCTTCCTGCAGGTTACATTTATAAGGCAATGTACGTGCCCATCTGCCTACGAAACGCGACGCACGATACCCAACCGGGTGTGGTAATGGTCGTCGAGACAGAACAACGCAGTGCTAGCATATAAATCTGCCATAATTGCCTTAATCCTCAGCTCCGCGCCAATGACAAACAGAAAACGTACAATTTCAAATAGATATGGATTTTTGCACTTTGCCTAATTAGTGAAATGGTTTGCAGTATTTAAAAGTTTGCCAAATAACTGCGTACATTTTAATAAAGTGGGCCACGCAGAACATTGGGTGATGAAACTGTGCTATTGTCGTAAAATAGAGATAAGATATTCATACATTGGATGATAGTTTGACTTCGACGGACGAGGTAATAATGCTAAAAATTTTTCCAGCTGCAGGCAACCATGACGTTATGAGGTACTGTACTATCAAAGTGATACATGACTATGAGCAGGTGATGAATATGTCGAGGGAGCAGAGATGTCCTAATTACTTTTTCGGCCGCATAAAAAACTGCGAAAAAATAGTATTTACTAAAAAATATTAAAGGTAACCTTTGAAATAAAATCAGTTAAAAATGTCTCGTTATCTGAGATGTCATGGAAAAAATTCTCGCAGATCTTAATTGCGGCGTAGGTTTTCCCTTGAGCTGAACGTCTTTGACGTCTGTTTTCAGCAGCTGTTAGTAAGCAAGGTAGATATGAAAGGAAAGTTATCCTTAGGATCCCGTTCGGCGTCACATCTGATAATCGGGTAATTTTAAAAGTAAATCTGGAATATCCAATTCAGTCAAAAAACAAAAAATATCTTTTATGGGCGAAGTTTCGCTGAGCTATATAAAAGTTATCTTTCAAATACGCTAATTTAAATCCTGCTTAACGCATGACAGATATTGCTACAACTTGTACCATGTTCGCCAACATGAAACCTCTTAACCATTATTACAACTAGTATGTAATGTATTACTTTGGAAGAGTTCAAGTACAGATAAAAACTTGTCTCCCAATCATAAATAGTGACCGATTTCGGGCTATAAACAATGATGATTCAGATAAGCGTAGCTTTTTATGGCAGTTATTTCCTAAGAGCTGAACTGATATGTTAGATAACCTATTGCTTCGAATGGACCCAAATGCGTAATAATCCTCGTTCAAAAATTTATATGTCCTACTTGACCTGATTGTGTAACAGCAGTAGCGATCGCAGACGCTAGGTCGCGCCCATAAGGCTGGAATATTCAGAAATTAGACTCGTACGTTTGTACTCCAGAAACAATGACGGGCAAACGAACGCAGCCGCTATCTGCGACACACCCGTTCCATGCTCTAATTGACACAAAAAAGCCTTTTTGTTTCTTTTTTTTTTCAAATTCAGCTCTTTTCTAGGTTACAAGCTTGTTTTCTAAGCAAATCAAATTTAGCGCGAATCTTGCGAATCATTGCGTTGATGTTTCCTCGAGTAGTAACAATTTACAGAGGCCGCAGTACAACCTATGAAGACGTCGGAAGGGTTCCTGCTCCTGCTGCTGTTGTATGAGCAGTAAACAACATCAGTGTATCTTGACGAATTGAAAGATGGCGATGATGTTGAGAGCCGGAGCTTCGTCGAGTGCTTTTTTCTTGGAGGCTGTACTTTTCTTCGTCTCAATATTTTGTGTTCTAGAACGAGCAGCAGGCCAAAGGGCAGACCGAACGTTAACAGAATGGACGATGTACAAAAAGCAAATAGCGAAACTGTCTCAGCTAGCAAACAGCGTCTGCCTGACGGTAGCTGACTTCTAGAAGTTCCAGAGACCTCTGCCTCTTGCTCCTATCGCCTTTAAATCCAACGTACCCTAGACGTGAAAAGACTTCTAATACAAAGAATCCCCACCATTCGCTTATCCTTTTTTCTTTGCCCAAAAGAGGATCCAGTCCGTATCCTTTACTTCGTCCTTTTCCTCTTTCCCTTGGAATAATGGAAGGCAGAAGAAGACGAAAGGGTAAGGGAGATAAGAGATAGCAGAAGGCATTAGGTCATCGAAGACCTAAACAGGCTAAACTGGCTGGCTATTAGATATTAGCCACCAGGACATTCCAAGCATTCACTCCACGATCGTCCTGTGTTATTTACGGGTCGGAACAGATGCCGACGGAGACCCGTAACCATAGAGAGAAACCGTAAAACAAAGTTGAGTTGTATTACATTTTATCTAACTTATCTCCATACAACTTTTACATCAGCCAAAAGCGTTCATTTACACACCAACTTGTGCAAGGGCCAACTTCATTCGTACACAACCCTATGGTTTCCTTACCACACTCGCTTCTATCTTGCCAATCATCATTACTGTTTGATTTTAACAAATACTGATTAGTTTTACCCACCTCCGATTAAATCGGAAGACCTATACCCCAGAGTACCGAAACATAAGACAGAAAAATAAGACACTAGAATATACCTAGTATATTCTATATAACAAATAACTGTTAGTAATCACGGGTGCCGCAGCATGTTACAGCGACCACTGCCGCTTTCATTATATAGAATGCCCTTTTGTTTAGATTCAGATCTATGCACACGTAGCCTATTAGGTATACATTTGTAGTTAGACTGATCTAATTATAGTCTGGTCTTGATGAAGAATGTATGTATAATATTACTCTTGATACCTAAAACAGAAAACGCAATATGGATTTCTAATTCGTGCAAGGGAAATCTGGCTACGCGCTCACGGCACTCAATTGATTTTGATACAACCAATGCCCAAGTGATCCCACGCGGCTGACCTTGCTAGTCTAACATCTATTGTCAAACAAATATTATGCCATCTATTAAAGATTGCAGTGGTTGGTAAATGGGCTGTCCTTCTCAAATATCTTCTCCTTCGAATGCAACCAGACCAGTTTAAGCACAACATAATTCTATATATAATAGTACATACAAGTAGACTACATACAGTACACACATTATGAAACTCAACTATGCAATAAAAGAACACGACGTACTACGCATTACCCTAGCGGGTAGAGATCATGTATGTAAAGCAGATAACGATTCATATTTGACAGAGCCTTCCGTTAATGACTGTGCTTTTAGTAGGTGCGGACATGAGTGGTTTAGCGGCGTGCCGGCGGTGTCATCCGAGGCCGCACGTTAACGTGCATCCGAGGTCGTTTCAACGAGGTGAGGTGCGGCGCCCTCAGCACCGAAGCTGAAGACGTGAAAGGCCGCAGGCCACCATAGCCAATCGCCAATCAACGTCACTATTACCGCCTACGGAGAGTGCACGAAGGTTAGACACGGAGCGAACGCAGACGGACGCACATCACGGACGGGTTCCAACTGCGGAACATAGGGCAGCGTCGCGACGCAACATCGAAGGAGGTGAACCGAAAACAAAACTACAAAAAATCAACTGAGCAAAAAAGGGCGAGAACTGATTACCAAAATGGTCGCCTGAACCTAAGTTGCGGCCAGCTGCTAAGTTCATAACAACTGAGAACCTGCCGTGTTGGCCTTCACTCGGTAGACGAGGCCAAAAACTAGGAGGCTAGAAAAGAAAGAGCAGTACAAAGACCACCAAAAAGAACACTACGAGCAGCGAGTTAAAAAAAAATATAGGGTCTTCCTTAGTCTTACAAAGCCACTGCTCAACGGTCAAAGCCACACGACACAGCAGGCCACATTTAATGCACTGTTTGGTCTACTGTAGAATAGAACAATACACAATCGCAAGGCGCAGGGGAGAATGTGAAAGCGGCCACAACAAAAGCTCAAACTTTGACCAGAATTCAAAAGACGCTGAAGATACTTCTAAGCAGCATTGACTGCCACGTTGACACACACCGAAATAAAAACAAATTTCTGCACTGCAGTAAGAGGAAACGAGCAGCTATCGTGTCCCTCGCCGTCTCTATTTGTTACCTCTCTTTCTTAATTAACTTACGTTCCGCTAATTTCTAAGTTGTTGTTGCTGACCATAGGCAGCAATGATAAAACAGATTGTTGAGTAGTGACTCTAAAGCGATTCAAGAAGGTCATAACTATCTATATTCTATAGAAGTTTTTGTTTAAAAGAAGACAGCAAACTAACTTCAACGCAAGTCAACGGGATAACTGTTCTGGCGACAACATGATTCTGTGTTACGCTTCCTGAGTTGTCATTGTAACCAACGTACATCTCTGTCCGTTCCAACTGCGTACTCAAAAAAATCTCTCGTCGCTGTCCTTTCTGAACCTTCGTTGAGGTCGAGTCCCATTAGTCTACCTCTTTCTCCTGTCCTGCCATTTTCTCGTCACACCGGATTGGTCGAGGTTGGGCCTCAAGAAGATCGAGGTGGTTAAGTTCTATCTATCAATATATCGGGGACTCCGTTCATCATCTGTTATCATTCGTTTATTAAGTCTCTCCTTCTAAGCTCGATTCGTACGTCTACGGACACATTAACTGCACTACACTCATTATCGACGTCGCAGGCGACTCGTCTATCTTACCACCGACAAACGAAAACGATAGAACGTCAAAACCTAGGAAGAACAACCAAGACGGTCATCTAGCAAAGGTCACACGAAAAGGCGCCAAACTATTTTGTAGTATAGGTAGATGTTGAATAGAATACAAAGCTTCGGCATCGGCATCGGACTAAAAGCGCAACTAAATATTGGCAGTAAAAAGGAAGCATAGGCAGGCAAAACATACGCGTGAAAAATAGCAGAAATCTCGCGGCCCTCAATAGCTTTCCAGATATTCTTATTCACTCAACGGTAAATAACATGCAAGACCTTCAGTTCACAGCAAACTGACGACAGCAGAAAAGTTTAGTCAACTAAAAATACTTGCTAGAGTCAAGACACCAGCAGATACACAGAATGAACGGATGGCTTCCAGCAGTTCATGCAATGTCGGCATGAAATCACTCTCCTCCTCTTAATAAATGTTGGCCTTATCAATAACAAACAGTAGCGGCATAATGACCAATTATCCCAGAACCAAGACCGACCCAAACTACAATTTGTCCATCATATCGAGGGGGGCAAAAAACTGAAGCCCCTTGTTAGATCTGAACAGCGGAAAAGGAACAAAACCAAACACAGTTGAAACCCAGCCGCGGGCAAACCACAACAATACAAGGCATCATCTCAATTAGATCGAGGTGACGTAGCCTGAGAAAACCTGTCGTCCGATTTTACTCCGTCGAATTTCGTTTGTATCCAGCATTTTTTCACTGGAAGGAGTGAAAGCAATAAGGCGACCCAAAGCTGCGTTGTCCTATTGCAAAATTCAACTTGCTGTTGATCGTGTCAATTTTGTTTGTTCCAACAAGATCTAGACCCATTTCTTTCACACAACTGGGCCTCAACTACGTGACCGCACTGACGAAACGCTGAAAAACTGGAATTCTTTAAATAATAAGCGCTAGCACCATAGACCATTTTGTCGCGGGAGCGATTGTCGTCATGAAGGACACTGCACGAAGCTACTCTATTTCTACAGCTATTTCTACTATAATTTCTACAACAATAATAGTGTAGACTGCTTGTAGAACCGTAGACTGCAACGTACATTTAGCGAAGCACATGTTATATAACAGCAAGCAATACCCAATAACAATATTACGAGAATAACAACGAGAAACTTCATAATTTTTGGATATCTATGGTGTATATCGAGCATTGTTTACCAGAAAAAGAGTAACTTCATAATCTACTCATTTCCAACACGTCCAAATAGCCTACTTAATCAGCCATCGTGGTGACGATAAATTAGCAACCGTGAGATTGTTCACTACTTTACGTACAGCCACAGCCACCGAAAAGGCAACGTTGACAACTAATCTAGCTATAGCCATCACCAACTCTATCATAACAACATCGAGGATAAAGAAAACCATCAAGCAGGTCCTGTTAGGTTTCTATTCAACGTCAGGAAGTGAAGCAGGACATCAACCAAAGGACATCACTGTGCATCGTGCATGAACAAAAGTCAACAAAGAACAATCGACCGCCGCAAGCACAACAGGACATCAGTCTGCAATATTCAACCAGACGAAATCAGAACTAAGTCAGTTAAACCGAATCAACTTATATCTACCACCTTCAATTTCGTAGTAGTAAATGCCGCTTGAAATTGTCGATAACAGTAACAGCAACAACAACAGCAGCAACAATAAGTTGATAATGCATCAAACCAATAAACAAAGAACGAACGAAAAAACCAATTATCTAATTAAGGTTCTTTGACTTTGTAGTAACGAGCGCCTGTCGGTGCCCAGGGCGTGCCACTCTTCTACAATTGTATCTATGCGAAAAAAACAGCAGTCCCATTCTTCAACCTACCAATATACAATTTCGATAAACAGTAAGAAACGGAACTACCGGATTCAAGTGTACACGTTTCCAGTGCGTCAAGAACTACAATTATAGCTTTTGTAATTGTTGTTTCTACTAGAACTTATCTCCTAGTCTCCAAAGCAGAGTCTCTCCATACGCACGAACGCATATAAACAGTTATCATATTTCCAAACGTTCAGCTCAATCAGTCAGCAAAAATAAGTACGCAATGAGCAGAAAATGCCACTTATCAGTGAGTAACAGATAAATATCACCACTGCAACTAACTAATTACTACATATACTAATTAGCGCGTAATTAGTACTACTAAGTACTTGGTACAGACCAAGCAATGAGTCTTGTAGCCGGACGTACAAAGGTACTCGACTAGTACTGCAGTACCACTTGATCGATTTCAAAAAAAAAAAGAAGAAAAACACGGGAAACACTTAAATTAACGGAACGCAATAAATATCGGACCGCATCGAACGGCCGCAGTCCTCGACCAGAGCTAGAAAACAAGTCATTTGATTGTTGATCAAGCAACGAGAATTATCGTGGCTCGGATTAGAGAGTAGAAGATACGGCTAGATCAGGACACAGTCCCCAAAGGACCCGTCACGAGTGTCACGTCACCACTGGCACGACGTGCAACCTCGCTTCAACATCGAGCAGACCAAAAGAAATATAAAAAAAAAAAAATTAGTGACTAGACAAGTACGACCGTATAATACCGTGCCGGCCATCAAACAAGACAAATCAGCCTAGATTAATTAGCATCTATAAAAATAAACGGCAATGAAGCACTAGAAATCCACAGGGAAACAAATTAAAATTTTCGCTTCAGAGAGAAGACCCTTCCTCAAAATATACAAGCAGGCCCTTTGGTGCCTAGAAAAGAGCTGTACAGAGCTACAGCAAAGCGACGGGAATCAAATCAAGTTGAACTAATAAGAAGAAATTTTCTAAGCAATCGGCCGATCGACTATATAGACTCTACAAAAACGTCATTCCTAAACTGTTATCCCGCTGCAAATATATATATACACACACATATAAATATAGCCATATATATGCATGTATGTATGTATATATATATATATATATGTATCCATGTATAGTGGTAGGAGGAGCAGTGCGGAAAGAGAAATCGGCATGACACAAAAGCCCGTCTCCAGCCGAATATAAAGAGGCCGTCACTTAACAGTACGTTGCTCGTCAGTCACTAGCCAATTAAATTCAACTACATAAACTACTAATATTCTACTACCGCTACTAATAAATAATAATCAAGTGCGTCGTTATTCTCGACCGTTAGCTTCAAAGCAGCCCGTCGTCTTCAGACCCGAACACAATCCCACTGCCTTCTGCGTGATATCCATCGGGCCAATTATCGATCGTCCGCTACTCGAACGATTGCCCCAGTGTTTCTTCAGCGATTCCAACTTTGACGGCAAAACATTTCAAGCAGCGGTTTTCAACATGGCCGGGGCGACCCTTAGCTAGTAACGACGAAGGGTGAAAGCACGTAATCAAAACCCAGAAACAAGCCAATCAACTTAAGTTCAACAACAAGAACGAAAAGTGCGTACAACATCGGTAGAAAAGAAACAGTGACAAGAGGTTAATTTCTGAACTTTAGGAACAAGGGCACATATATAATCACTCTCACTGTTTTTCTCTCGGTATTGAAGAACAAGTCGAAAAGCCTCGTTGAGAAGACGGCGGAATACCGGAAGAAGTCCAGTGAGGGAAACGTTCACATCTAGAGTGAGCAAGATAACCAGGGCTTCGTCATCGAATGAGAGCGTGAAAACGGGACGAACAACCGCTACCGTACCTCCGTCAGTATAGAAGAATCATTAGCGGCAAAAAAGAAACAACATCAACTATATTATACGTAACAATACTATATTGACTGAGCTAGTCTTGAACAGCATGGCGGAATTCACTAGGAGCTTCAGGGGCTGCATTAAGCGGAGGGCAACTTCCGCCTGGTTTCTAGTGGCGTTCACAATGGTCTTCTACTGCCTCAGGGCAGTTCAGACTGAGAGGGTCCTCCTCCACCAGATGGCATCCGGCAGCAGCGGTCTAAGACCGGGGTAAGTAAACACATTGTAGAATATTCTAGACACAAAAACGGTACAGAATATCAAGACATTTGAACAGTAACGGTAAATATGAACTAGTTCTTTATAACGCTATATAGAGAAAAGGGGAATCAGGCTATCTTTGAGCAAAACAAGTACGACAGGTCCTTGAATTTCCTCATTTTTTTGTCCACTGGCACCTTCTGATGATTAGTTTAAACTAGTAGGGAGCACATCAGAAACACTGACAACCACCTAGTGAATAATTATGTCAACTTACCGTATCGATAAATAGACACTGCTCCTTCGTCAAAGCCAGAAAACACTTATCTAGTTAATCTAAAAAAGTGAACATAAAAATGTCTTGATCTCTGATTGCAAACTGAGATCTCTGAGGCAAAACCTCGGCTTCCCGCCCCATCGTCCGCTTATCAAATCTCAGTTCAGGCCGCACCTTCTAATGGAGTCCAATATTAAATGAGGTACCGCAAGCCATAAGTAGTGATGACAGAAAGAACAACACCAAGAGGGGTAACAATAACAACTTCTATAATAGCAAATTGAAACACCTGTTGGTACCATAAAAACAGTGGCCAATTCGATCTCGACACCCACTCAACGTTGCCGCTTTGCGTTCGACATGGATAAACGCCCAGAATCAGCGATTCATGCAACTGCAGGTTAATATATGCGTGAAACAGGCGCTGCTCGTCTCCTAGTCCGCAAGTAGGTACAGAGGGCCTACGTACTCGTCATCCGTGTCTGTACATCGGAGATGTACTTCTGTCATTAAATATGCACGACGCATATTCAAGCAGGTACCGGCTAGACCAACAGATTCCTGAATAGGGCGGCCGGTGAGGCGTCGATCCCGCGGCCATAGTATTAGATGCGCACGCCAGTTACGATTATTGTTGCCAACGGTAGTATAGGGTTTGATTGTATCAACGCTATGAAAGCTACTAGTACTATTGCCTACGCTGTCTGTGTCCGTTTGCCCAATCATTGGATTTTGACTACCCCGTGACAAGTCCGCCTCTTTCGCACACCTTCTTTTATATTCACTGTTTCTCCCTGCTGTAGCTGCCGACGCATAAATCGACGAGAGTTACCGTAGCTCACGACGACACGAACTAATTGGATTTTCAACTTAGAGGTGTCCAATATACGTCGGTAAGATTGGGAGAGCTAAACCATGGGTTTCTTGCTCGAGCTAGATGGCCCCCATGAACGCTGCGTACTATTAGATAAATAGAAAACATTTTCCTTCTTATAACAACTGTTCATCTCGTTTTAGCTCTGTGCCGCTATATATATATATATATATATATATATATATGTATATAAGATTGAACCTACTCAGCTTCCAAGTTCAGAGGGTTGTCTGAGACAAGCAGAATTCATCTAAACTTGATTCAGTCTCGAGCCGATTGGGGTAGCGAGCTGTTGGTTAGAGATCTAGCCAAATAAAAGACGTCGAAAGATCATTGTTTGTGACATAGTTTCATTATAGCTTTCCATGACCATGGTGTAGTCGTGCTAAAAAGTATCCAAAGGATTCGATAGTGCTGTGAGATGTTGATGCAATCATAGCGGAACCTTCCAACACATTCAATTTCTATTAAACACTTTCTTAGTTAGTACTAACCATTGTTGAACTCGATATGTCTAACCAGATACATAACAGTTCATTAATTCAAGCTCCTAATTTATAACGCCTTAATGATTTAATTGCAGTCAAACGCAGCGCGGTCAAAATATCACGCACATACTCAATGCCTTTTTCACCAAAGGATATGACAAGCGAGTTCGACCCAATTATGGAGGCAAGTAAAATTCATATTACCTTTATCGTATCTATCAGTAGTATAATAAAATGTAATTATTCTGCAAAGCCAATCGAGTCTTTTACCCACTAGGTGGCGACCTTACACTCTGCGGTTCCATACTAGATGTACTGCTGCATGTTCAGCTTTGGGCCGTCTCGATGCGGCCATTTCGCATGCAGTCCATATGAGGTTTGTGTCCTGTAGGACGGTTTGATACTACGAAGGCCTGAAGAAGAGCAGCTCATATTTCTGCTTGCCGTTTTAACAAATAGCTACATAAGAATCTATCGTTCTAGTGTGCATTTAGTACTCTCCAAGAAGAAGTGAACCGGGCAGGTCTGCTGTCAGCTTCCCCGAAGTGCCGAGGTCAGCTCCCCTCTTTCCTGTTTCCTTTTGTAGGAAAAGTATGGCTGGTGCACTCCATTTATGCAACGGAAGCAACAGCTGGTGGAGATTGCTCATTCATTTACATAGATATGGGTCGTAGGTCATCTGCGGCTGGTTGACATAACTCAGTTTATTATAAAACAGTATATTTTGATAATATTGTCGTTCGGCCAAAGATGAAACGAAAACCTTAGTTCATAAAGCACATTCGGTGTTCTTCATACGCCTCATATACGCCTACTAAATCGACATATCTAACGTAATATAATTAGCTGTCTAATGAACTATGGATAGGTAACTTTACTACATCGATTTTCAGAGCGAGATGGACACACGTTACTGTATTAAATGCTTTTGAGTTTGTAAAGTTTTAACGTGATTTGCAAGTAATCGAGTTTTGGCCAACTTAGAGCTTACTTCCGGTCACGAACGGCCTGCTCAACTCATGCTAGGGAACTTGTCTTGTTTACTATATTTGTACAGTCAACCGCTTATTGCGACGTTCGCCAAACGTGCGCACTCCCCAAAGGCACTGTTCGCATTCAGCGAATAAAAGGCGGCGTTACACGTTATTCAATGTTACCCGGAACTATAGCCTTAGCTTCAATATAGAGCAGAATACATTTCGAGCTTGCCGGTCCAGGGCCATAATCGGCCAGCAGAGGAAGATTTAGGATTCACTGTGAACAGCGATGCCGAATTTACCGCCTCTCGATTACAGAAATGAAGGAAACGGTATATCTCCACGTAATAACCGTACATGATGGTCTTCAAGTGTGCAGTAAAAATACACAATGGCTAGGGAGGTGCAAAGGATAAAATCCATCTTGGCTGCTTGGCAATACTTCCAGATACTCGTAGGGTAACTCTTCCAAAGTCCCCTATGCAGATCTGCAAAGCCATCATTGCTGGTAATTTTATCTCGAATAATAGATAGATGATTGATTCGATAAGACCTCAATCAGCAGTTTACCAAAGGTATGTGTCCTGATTATTTATGCCATGTCAAATATATCATTACGCTATCTGCTGTAACAGGTTTATTCTAATCTAATGCATTTTGCAGGGAATCCCGTGGAAGTTGGTGTCAGTATGCAGATCGTCAGTATCAGTACCGTATCAGAAGTGCAGATGGTTAGTACAAGACGTCAGCACAATCATAAATAGTTACCAAACGTAACAGTAAGTGAGCTTTTTTTTCAATATGAGTGGCAGTAATAATGTGATTGATAATTATCTAAGATGAGCTTTGCTAGTGTTGATTAGCACTAGGCGAAAAGATCGTCAAAATTGTCAAGCATAGCCACCGAAGACTAATTACCTAGTTTGTACCCAGTTTATGCCCATTAGTATTCAAGCATTGTGCCAAAATTTCAATATCGTGTAAGGAAAATTACAGCCTGACATCTTGGATGAGTACTGCGTTTCAAGTACATTTGCTGATATTACTCTTGGCTGTGGTGCATTCCGTGACTCGCTCATTCTGTATATTATAATAATACTTACGAAAACCGTATTGGTATGCGTAACTATATGTCGAGAACCAAAGAGTTAGGTCCTGGTACGTGACACCAGGCAGTAAGTATAACCATTGGCAGCGGACCCCTGTTGGTTTAACTACAGATAAGGTAGTTCGGATTGCCTTCGGGAAGAGCATCCTTTTATATTAAACACACGCTAGTAGTAGTAAAACCTGATCAACTGCAAACATTTTTCAGTTATAAACATAAACGACATACGTACGGCTTATCTATGCCATGTAATTAGTGAGTATGCTTTTTTACGTTTACACGCGAGAAGTAATTGATTTTGCTAGATCATGCCTAGATCCCCAAACAGTGTGAAAGCCGCAATCGACATGAGTGGTCACGTTCCTCATCAAACATCGTTGATAATTCGGATATAGGCAAAATGGCTTAAGCAGCTGAACCAGCGATAGAAAGATCCAGAGGCCGGTGGTTCGAGCACTGCCATTGACATCTGTGACACTACATAATGTGCGTGATTAAGTAAACAAAGTATGGTCAACAAACTTCACAAAAATAACTGTTCCTATATGAATTGAACTGATGAACACGGGCTTCGATCTGTACGTGTCCGTTGAAAACCTCAGAGTAGTTCCAAAGACCAGTGTCATTCAGATGTGACTTCGGCAGTTTGTGACAACAGCTGTAACATATGGATGAACCAAACTACTGATTTTCGCTTGCACATACGGCCCGTATAAAAGCCATATATACGACCTGAACAAGGCTTCCGTCTAAAGCTAGCGTATCTTAGACAGCCTATCACCTGGGCGGGGCGAGGGTAAGTTACTGCCGCTGATTGTAGCCACTGACTGACAACCGATTTGCTATGCACCTAGAGAATTTAGGAAGTCGACGTTAACTCCCCCAGGGTAATGGCGAACGGGCTACCTAGGTCTCCGCGCAACAGGAACTAGATAAATTAGGACCAGTACCAGAACCAGACTGGATGCGGCGGCTGAATTGTTGAAGAGCCAGAAGTAAAGAGAACGCGAGGATGCTGAATTCTAGCTGAAGTATCCTCAGCGCGTATAGGCAGATTTGCTCCTATGCCGCTGACAAATACAAAAGTTTAGCCAGTGATTAGCAAACGGGAATCACTGTGTCTATTAACTAGGGTAACAATAACACGAACGATTCTTTTATTACTTGTTATCTGAATTCATTGCGTCATTATTAAATGGCGCAACTCGCTTTCACCATTTTTCCTACATTCCTTGTTTAATTTGGTTTGCAGGACTTCACGTCGGATTTCTACTTTCGACAAGCCTGGAGAGACGAACGTCTCTCTTTCGTCAAGAGTCCCGACCTAGACCAGATGACGGTCGGAGCAGAAGTGGCCAACAAGATCTGGGTGCCAGATACGTTTTTTGCTAATGAGAAGACTGCCTATTTTCATGTGGCTACGACGCCCAACACTTTCCTTCGAATTAGCTCGGAAGGACAGGTCTACAGAAGTATTCGGTGCGTACCTCTCACATGGACGCATTATTAATTAGTAGAAATTACCTAGACATGAAAACTTTGAATCGACATTCTAACAAATGTTTTAAGTTTTACGTCCAAGTCTGGTGCTATTGCTATCAAGAACTGTTACTTTAGATGGCTGATAATCCGTTCTAACGCAAAATGAAATACGTTTGGAGTAGGTTTCGAACCTGAACGACCTCGTCAGATATTCCTGTCTTTAGCAGCAAAAACATTAGTTATATTGGCCTGATACGAGGCTTAATTTCAGGCCGTGCTGTCTGCATACTTTACATGAGAAAAAAATCGCTGTACGCGTAACGCCAATGCGCTAAAGCGAGCATTGACAACATACATAATTAGGAGAACTATTTGGGAAGTTGACAAAAACAAAAGTCTACTGCGAGTTCGTCACGAATCTTGCAATAGATCGTATCGAAAGTACCTACAAATCGTTAATGGAAGCAAATAAGCCAAGCATCGATGCCCTTGACGCGATACGACCGCCATAATTTCTTTGACGTCTTTACACGTAGGCAGTATTATAGGTTATGTTTGTGTTTCTTCTGCCTTCATACCCCGTTTCAGATTGACAGTGACAGCCAGCTGTCCGATGGATCTTCGATTCTTCCCAATGGACAGACAATCATGTACTATTGAAGTCGAAAGTTGTGAGTATCTATATCAAACACTTTTTGTTACACAGATAGTTCTTTTTGGTATGCCTCATTAACGTTAACACATATAACAAGGAAGTATTATTTTAGCAAACTAGAAATTACCCTAATTATGAAGACAGTATGCGAATAGCAAATGATAATATTGTATGCTAAATACGCAGGACGCAATCAACGGACGGTGTTGAGCAATCTGGTCTATTTAATTTCTCTGTTGCTATCTTATACCATTGTTGTTAGGGGCATGATAGTCAAACCATGCATATGTTATTCAATAATGATCGCCACTCAAAAATAACAATATGAACGTTGGCCTATCAGTTATGAACACACTCCCTTCCTATTGCGCCTCCTTTCTATCTTTCTTTCCTGCTACTTTGACCAATATCTTTGCAGTCGGCTATACAATGAGCGATATCCGCTACAAATGGAAGGACGGACCCAACTCGATTGGAATCTCGAAAGAAGTCGAGCTCCCTCAATTCAAGGTGCTCGGCCACGTGCAGAAAATCTCTGAGGTGTCATTGTCGACGGGCAACTATTCACGTCTAATCTGTGAAGTCCGCTTTGTGAGGTCCATGGGCTACTACCTCATTCAGATCTACATCCCAGCCTCACTCATTGTCGTCATCTCGTGGGTGTCCTTCTGGCTGCACCGAAACGCAACCCCGGCACGGGTGTCTCTGGGAGTGATGACCGTGCTGACAATGACCACCCTAATGTCCAGCACTAACTCCCAATTGCCCAAAATATCCTACGTCAAATCCATCGACGTTTTCCTAGGAACATGCTTCGTCATGGTAAGAATTCGTCGCCCGAACTTCAAAACGATCACTTCTAATCTTCATTCACTCGCCTTTTTTCGAAGGTAGCACAAACGCAAATACTGCATCTGTGCTCAACGAATCAGTGGGAGATCTTGAATGAGGCTTAACATCAACAGTAGAGAACTAGTGGAGTACTAAAGATCCAGACGTTCTATCTATCGACTTATCCAGCATCCCCCTGTACACTGATACAAAACCCTGTTTGCTCTGGATTTTATGTCGATTGGCGTGCACGTCCATACTAAAGATTTTATGTTCGTTGATCTTTTTGAACTATTATTTCGTCTTGGTCTCGTTTTTAACTAAATCGTTTTCGTCGATGACGAATGGTATAATATTATTGGCGAGCAAATTGCAAGCTTCGTGATCTGTCTCCTAGCAACAGCACGGCTCTTCATCTTCCGCCTTCTTCTCCACTGCTCCGTCATTTGGTTACCCAAACAGACAGATACTTAGTTTGATTTCTTATTATTCAGTGCGAAACGCTGTCTCTCACCTGTGCGTTTGTGCCAACGAGAAAATCTCGCACGGGTTATCACCAGTCCGTAGGCCTTATTCCTATACGGTTTTATTTGACAAAGACCTCCTTTTTTCTATCTTACTCAAATAACTATTTTACACTATCATACGCGACTAGCCATCGTTTGCTTTTTTTTTTTTGGCGTCCGCCACCTCAGCAGAGCACGCTTCGAAGGGTGCTCGCATCGCAAGTATCATCGCACGTTGTCGCCGTGAAGGAGAAGTAGTTATCAGTTTAGGCGACCGCCTTACGCCCTCCTTAATGTTCCACCCCGGGATGTGAATGCAGCTACCGCGCAATGGAAAGCTAATGCCTAGTAGAAGTTCTGACGAAAGAAGTTGCTAGACCCTTACGCTCAGCAGGTTGCCCTACCAGCGCCCCTTCCACCCCATTCGAACACGACAACGTCGCAACAGCCTGAGCCTAGTTTTTTTTTCAAACTCATATGTATTTGTACGCCAACGGCAAATAAGTTATTCTGTGTTTCGTGTGGCGTAACAATGATCAAATATATACAGACCACCTAGAAATCTATTACGATTATGGAGGTGGGAAAAAAGTTAAAAACAGTAGCGGAATTCGTTCACAGAAAAAACTCAACCAAGGTTTCTTCTCAAACGATGCTTTGTTTCACTTTTACCAGCAACAGACACTGGTACGGTCAATAATATTAATCTATAAACACGGCACATTTGATATCATCACAAAAAACCTTTAACCTGCACACTTGTTAAAACCCTTATGTTGCTGTCATGCTATTAGCAAATAACAGAACTTTGTCTTGTACTTATATTTTTCCTGTCTCGTTCCATCTATGCTCAGGTGTTCGCGTCCCTTTTAGAATATGCAGCCGTGGGTTACTTGGGCAAACGCGTGGCGATGAGAAAGTCACGCGCGCAGCAGCTGGCCAAACTGGCAGAACAGGCGCGACAAGAACGAGCACGTCAAGCTGCGGCCCAAGAGGCCGCCCAGAGCCAGCACCCAGAACCGCCAATGCCACCTATGCCAACGAGTGGTCTCGGTGGGATAATGGGTCCTCAAAGCCCCGATCAGGGAATGCTGCCGCCCCTCGTTAAAGGTTTTGGTGGGGGCTGCCCAACTTGCCCCACAATGATGCAGAGCCAACCACAGCATATGCCACCATGCTTCACGATGGTAGGTTTTTCTCCCTTCTCTTTCCTGCTCGCTCGGTCACTCATTGTTTTATTACACTGTATATATATTTAATACATTGAACGTTGAGGAGTACCGTAAACTAACCATATCGGCTCCTATGCAGTAGAACGATTTTCGCATTTGATAATAGTGTTTGAACATCATTCTAGTTCCCTTTGCGCAGCCGCTTGCAAAATTCCTATTCTTATCAATTAGATTAATAGTTTTTTGGCTTGAATTTCACTACTTGTGTATAGACGCTGTACGATAATCAACTCCGGCGGATCGGCGATCAGTGCTGCCCTGGAGTTCGGGGTTGTACCATCTGCTCGACTCAGCAACAGCAGCAACAGCAGCAACAACAACAACAGCAACAGCAGCAGCAGCAGCAGCAGCACTCGGTCAATTGAATTTACAAAATATACCAAATAGAACAGAGCGACTTTTATAAATTTCTCCCTAGGATAGCTTAGCACGAAATGAAGCATTCTAGCCATTTCCTGATAGGATAGTCTAGCGGTTATTAGGCCAGGCTATGTATTCTGTTTTCAATATTCTGCATAAGTAACAACGTGTAGCAGGAAGCTTATTTTCCTTCAGCGGTCATTCGTTGGTTTTTTTTTAGTGCATGGCATTAGCTTTCCCTTCTCTAACATTACGGTCCTATTGCTATGGTCAGTTGAAGAAGTCGGACTCGAAGAGCTCGCGCAAGGAGTCGACGGCGCAGACTCCTGAGGCGGCCTCGGCGCCGGGCGGCGCCGGCAGCCCGGCCGAAATCGAGGCCGCGCTCGCCGGCAAAAACCCGAATAAGCTCTTCGGGGTGAACCCTTCTAACATCGATAAGTACTCGCGCGTCGTGTTTCCCGTCTGCTTCGTGTGTTTCAATCTCACGTATTGGGTGATCTATCTGAGGATCTCCGACGTGCAGTACGACGAACCAACTATCCTTCACTGAGCTGGGCACGTGCGCAGAGAGATACGTGTGGAAAACATCATTCTCGACTACATCATCATTCCTACGTATTAAAAATGTATTAAGATAAAAACAAACTCACTACAGGAAACTGCTATAGCTACTACTACTACTACGTTTACTAGTGCTACGGGTTAAGTCACAGACAACTAATAACAGTATAAAAAAGAAAAAGTTTCTCTAGCCAAGAAAAGGGGCTCCATCACAAGAACACTAGAAGAATTGCTGCTCGCGAAAAAATCGACACAAGAGGGCCAATGATCTTTAACGGCAAGATTTTCTACAAAAGAAAAACTACGCGATAGAAAAGTAACTCTACCTGATCGTAAGGCAAGTATTAGCAAAGAGAAACAGTAACGACTAAAATGTAGCCTTCGCAGCTTAACATCTTTCATCCGTAGGGATCATCAACCGCAAAACAAAAAATACCGCAGGACACAGTTATACTTCTATTATTATGAAGACAATAGGACAAATGAGAGGAAGCACTACTACAAAGCAATAGTCACAGTGAATTATGATAACCCTATCAGTAATTCTATGCTGGCATCCCACAGCTCTTCGCTTGTATACCACTAAAAGACAAGACACAATAATAACAACAACAACAACAACAGCATTTGTGTACACACAACAAGAAAAACAAACATTAACAGACACAGATCAAGTAAAGGAAAGCGACAGCAGCTAACGAGGTCATCGATGAGATGAAAAGCGACAAGATGGAAAAGAAAAGAAAGCAGACGCAGGAAGACAGGACCAAGTGAAGAAAAAAAAAAAGGCCAAAACGCAACAAACCAGGAAACGGCCAACAAAACCAAACTCGACAAATAACTACACCATCAGTATCAGCATATGCAGTACCCCCGCATATCCGAAACACAATACAGGAAGGCTCTCGAAGTTCTTCGTGTATTTCGTGCAGCATCCAGATGGTACCGTGGACATGTGTTGTGTCCCCGTGCCGTCCGCTATCGAACCATAAGATAAACCAGTGCAGCAAGCCCGAGAAACAACAGATCAACAACTACAGAAATCGACAGAATGAAAGGGACTTAGATCGCCATGTTGATTGCCATGTTGTACATAAATACTGATATGAATAATATCATTATTACCACAACTACTGTTAACGTATACATAGTATATGATTCTTGCTGATTAATTACCATTTTTTAACAACCAATGACTGGCCAATGACAGTCGGATTATTACTTCGATAACTACAAGTAGTGGCTAAATATGTTGGGGAAAAATGTGCTATATTTGATTGTTGTTATTTATTACTAGATTACTACACTCTTCATTAGTACAATTTGTAAAACAAAGGAGAATTTCTATCGTTCCTACATGCTGAAATAATGAGTGTCGATGATGAATTCCTTAGCACCGATGATAATACCAACACAGTTGTACAGTTGTTAAAAGTCTAACCCGAGCATTTATTCACAGTGTTATCGCTGTGGAGTCAACATAGCAGAAACCTCACTTATAAAGCGGACTCACCCCAGTTCTGATCGGTTCTACCCCAATCAGTCAGAGGCTGCGTTTAGCCGAGTCCGCGACTTAGCCGCTATCCAGTGAAAATATCAATTGTCATCTGTGTGTCTATCTAACTTGATTGCAATGTGTGTGTCTCTTAATAACGATCTGTTTCTTATCTATAGTACTACTATAGCTATGATTCCACTTCTAATTATAAATTGTCTCAAAAAACAACTCTGACCTGTACGAGTGTTAACACTACACGTGGACAGTTATTACCGTTCAAGGCTGGCCGATTCATGCCCCAGTGTCCTCTGGTGTTGTTGGAGGGACGGGCATTTCGAGCCGGCGAGAGGGATCTGTCGGATCTCTCGACGCTCGCTCTTCGATGAGCAGACGTCGAGGCCTACAACAGTGAGAAGCCGGGGCGAATCGAGAATCTGTTCAACGACGCGCAACTTCATAAACCCACATGGAGAAATCTTGATAACGTTGCCTTGACTGAAAATTGAAAGCGACTAGTGAAAACGAAGGGACTCACAATCTATCGGCACTCTCTGAAGGTTTGGTGATGAAAATTACGATTCTTAAACATGAATAATGGATCGAACAGTCAGATGGATTACGAGACAGGATATCGCTGCAAAGCAAAAACAATAATCGGCCTTTCAAACCTTCGACCGCTTCGGCACTTCACGGGACGCGTCCAGTTTGGACCGTCTTCATGAGCTCCTCACCGTCTCATATCAAGAGTGACCCTCAACTCAGCAATGACCACTTCAGTTGCGCTAGTCAAGACTCTTTGCAATTCAATAATACAAAACCAAATTTCTTAAGTAATAAGTAGTAGTTGCTTACGAGATTGTAGATCATATCATACGCACACCTATATACACACAAACACAGACATCAGTCACGTACGTAACTACATAACTGAACAAGACCCCTCAACCACTGTCAATCTGATCGACTATTCAAGCTGCAACAGCGAAAAAAACATCCATAATAACAAATTCGGAAAGACATCTCTTTACGCAATAACGGCCATCGATTTCTCCTGGTTGAGTCTCGAAAATTCACGGGCTTCCCACCTCTCCTTCCCGGTTATCTCTCCGGTAACAAGAAGAACGACAATATTGTCGTTCTTATATATTAATATTAACTTATTAAGTTAATATTATTAACTCCCACATCAAGAACTATCATTATTTCAACAACACTAAATATCATATCAGAGAAGCAAAAGCAACAGTTCCGGCTAACTTACATGCTTTTGGCAGCAAAAACGAGACCACAAATAATAGTTTGTGACTTGAACGAAAAACTCTGATACTTCCGAACTCCGAACCTGACGAAAAAAATAGTTATTGAACTTCTACACGACACGAGCTCAAATATTGACGTACGTACCTTGTACTACAATTCGCATCGGGCGCAGCAGGCCTGTGCAGTCGGAACCTAACGGATCGCTTTGTATTGTTCCCCAATAACCCCAGTGTCTTGAATGAGTCACCCTAGGAAAGCTAACCGGTCACGCTAATTAGAAATTGTCGATAGACATCATTTGAAAGTAGTGCCACTGCCAGTTTGCCTATTTGTAACATTCAATATCGACAACTATTTCCAGTAATCGCTTACGACACACTTACATACATAGTTGATGATCTTTATCTATTCTTGGACCATTTCAGTAAATCACCTACGTTTAGATCGCACGTTCACCTTAATCCACCGTCACTGATCACATCAACGCACAAATATCAATCTGAAGACAACAATTTAATTGTAATTACGACAACCACTACAACGGCATCGATCGATCGATCGACCGATCAATCAATCAGCTCTCTGACGAGCTCTAACGAACGCTGGACACTTGATTTCATGACAAAACAAAAAATATCGACTAATACTAACATCAGCATATCGAAACAACATGAGCAGAAAAAAAATGTTCAAGTTAATGATGAAGATGCCACCGTTAATACTGCAACAATACGTGTTGTATTAGGCCATATTATACATATATCCTCATATATGTATGAGAGAACAATGGCTCAGACGGTTGGATTGCTTAAAGACGCTTGCGCATTGCCGAAGCCTGTAGCGTTTTAATGAATCGCATATAAAAAAAAATCATTCTCAAACGAACAGAGAAGGGTACACAACTACAGTGTATAACTTTGTCACTGACAAACCCCAACAGCGGCATGTAACTTGCAAACACAGCATTGCAGTGATGAATTACTTAAAACTAGGCTTCGGCCACTGCGGACCTTGCGCCCAGGGAACAACCTAACCAATCATCATCTGACACGACACCCTGCATCTCTATTGCGGAGTTACACGGCTAACAAAAACGGCAGACGCCAAGTGTGATTAGACAAAACAAAGGAACCATCTGTACTATGCACATTCGCCGAATGCTACGGTACACCACATATTTTTACGAAAGAAAAGCTGAAAATCAATAGCGAGAACAACGTCAAAGTCCAACAATCGAATACTGGTATCACTTCTACGAAGCGGAAGCAGAGATGAAGATCTCGACACATGACACACAACCAGCAAAAAAAAACAAAGACTTAAGCAAGAATGATTGTTTGCAAATCATACAGAAACACAATAAAACGAATACCGATAAGATGGAAAAAGGAGCTTACGCTCTGATTATTGATGACTCCTGTCACAGTCCGATATCTATACAACTATCGATAATTATCGCTATCATTCATCTGCTTGTAATTGATTTTGCTTCAACATCGGCAAAACAAAAGCCAATAATGCCACACAGCAAGCAAAAAACGGAAAGAACATGAGCAACAATAATAAGCAAGCTCGCAGCTTACAACAACTGCTACGGATCAAAGCGCAAACAGAGGTTCAATGCAAATACAGACTGCATCGAACCTGTTAACAACCTGTACGAATCAGTTTAAGTCACTCATTCTGATACGGCACGCCTGACGCTGCACAGATAACGAGGTGAGCAGTAGAAGCACGAGATGCACGACATACGAATTCACGGACCCGTCCATAGAAGTCTATCCTTTAGCCTAGTAAGCAGAGGTAGACAGTAAAAGAGGTACAACACAGTCCCAAGAGAAGAAGACAAGGACGAAAAGTCTTCCTCTCAAGGCTTACTTAATAATAACTAAGACTGAAAATAACAGTTCATTATGTACTACTACCATTGCTAACCAGTTACGATAATACTGTCATACATTATTAGTCTGCGCGCATTCGCTGGTCGCAAGTCGCTGGATTTGGCGGACAGATCGATATCGGATCGGATATCCATATCGTGTTTGCGAACGAACGTATCGGAACGTACGTATTTGAAATGAGCTGAAAGACATGGCCACGACCCTACCAGCAAGTGCGCGCGCTGCACAGCAGAACCAAGCAACGGCGCGTAACGACAGACATCTTAGCCAGACGATAAAAACAAGCCTAGAGCAGCTAATCCGCCAAGCCGAAAAAGCCAAAACGCTGAAGCAATGCTTCTCTCACTAACAACAGCCGAAGCTTAAGACAAAATATATTCAGTACACAGCGCGCTTGTTTTCTTTGACAGCATTACGTACATAACAGTCGATAAGGAACAGGATATATTAGCACGCAGCGGATGCACTGTTTGTGCGTCTGTGTGCTTAAAGGTACAGTTAGCTGTTCAATTAGAATTGGCTGAATCCATGCTGGGAGATACTGGATTCAACGTCAGTAAGGAGCCCAACCAGCGATGAAAGAAGTTTCATCTTGCGCCCCGTGTGCATGTGCACGTAACCAAGCTGCACACTATATACCTGTATCCAGACACGCCGAAAATAGATTGCCTGGAGATTAATTGCCAAATCGTTTCACATGCGGTACAAAGCCGCCGAGCTTACATGTCCTTCGACTTACGATCGACCACTCTGACGACGATAAATTGTTTCAAGGTCATTGTTAATAACTGACCTTTGCAATTCTAAGCAACCCCGACGATAGCATAAGACTAAGCTGTCGACGCCCGCTGTCCAAAACAAACGAAGTTCGGTCATATACGAACTATCAAAAGGCAACAGTAACACGGACGACGATTAGAAGCGGTCTAGCGTCCGTGAGTTTTGTATCGATGCCAATCTAGCAGAATGTACGTTGGAGAGGATACCTATGCTATACCGAGACAAGGAAATCGGGAGAAAGGACAGACGGTCAGAAAGGATAGATTTTGAAATCGCACTCTTCGTGAACGAACTCAACGTTAGGCAGCAATCCCGATGAGGCCATAATGCAATGGCCTAACGGCAAAATACAAATGGACGAACTGAGGAAACGAAAAAATCGTAGTAGGACTGGACGCACGACCAATGTGTTTAGGGCATGCTGCAGTCCCAGTCTGTAAAATGATGATAACGTAGTAAATGGAGTGAACGCGTTACATACGAAAGCGTTTTAACGAAAATGATTTAAGGAGACGATGTAAAGTAAACATGCTACAGGAACGTAACACTAGGCAACATTGCAAGGTAGCTCTGCGTGGCTCCTTGCTGAGTTCGTCCCATGCTATCACCACGAAGGTAAAGTACAAAAACAACAGCAAAAACATAAACAAACTGAAAAGAAAGATCCGAAGAGTCCCGAATTACCAATCCGGAGCCGCGCGGCTTGTCCGTGAGTATCTCCTGAGATCCCAGAAGGCATTGTAGGACCTGGGAGAGATGACGGACAGGGGCGACGGCCATCCCGAGGGTGTTGAGCAGTTCGAAGCCGGGACTCGGATCCTGCGATGCGACGATTAACGCTGGGTGCTAGAGAGTCGTTCGTGCCTACGAATGGAACGGTCCGTAATGCGATTCTGCTCGTTTTTAGGATTTTGTGCCGACTGGTGACGACGGAGTGTGCAGGACCCTCGTTCTTTGTACAACAGAAGTTTCTCGAAGTTTGCCGTAACGGAAAAGACGACTCGTCGCCATTGCACGGTAACACATTTCTCTAGTGTCCTGGTCTAAAAGCTGCTGTTACCATACAATGGCCGGGTACTATACGATACGTTCTTCTACCACAGTTATAACAACCACTATCTACTATGCTATACAAAATAGAAGGAAGCACCATCCAGGCTGGGTCGGGCGTCAAGATGCCCATCTAGTCATTTTTCTTACAAATGCTATATTGCCTATGTATCGTGTTTAGCTGAATCATAATTAATATAATAATAGTTATTATTACTATTCCTATTACCATTGTTATCAAAATAATTATCAGTATAATTGTTGTTATTATTATTTATTATAACGCAAATGTCACACAGTTATCCATGATTCCAATGATATGGGTATTAACATTATTGAGTATCTTGTTAGATATATGATTCTATGACAAAAATAATATATCAATTATAATTAGTCTATTGATAATATAATTATATTAGCGCCATATAAGTAAGTATAAAAATGAATAAACATATGTGCACCAATGCCGAAGTATATGATTGCTTACATTCTTAGAAGAGGGACAATGATTGACTTTACTACATAAATAACACTGATATATTAAAAACATGTTAATACAGAGCATTTTGTTTCAATGTCATCCAGTATGGCCCAGTAAAGCTCAGGAAACGCAATTCATAGTAGCATCTTTAACGGATGGCCCGGACCTTTGCTCAGTTGATAGACGAACATGCTCGATGAATAGCAATTTCTATTGTCTCACGTGCTATCGATGGGCGGCACTCGTCTTAGTAAACCAGTCAAATGCATTCTAACGGAGAAGATCATAATATCCAATATACAAGGTAAGGAAGGTCAAGCAACAAAAACAAATAGTCTGATAGCCTCCCCACATTAATGATGGCCAGAACAGAAACGCGTATCAATTGAAAGAAAAATAGTGGTGGATTGTAACAAAACCGATGGCTGTGAGTTGTTAAAGAGTAGAAAACTACATTCCTATTGACTGGCCATGTCAATAAAACGATACCTAGCATAATATCCGATGGACGTGCAACAACCGCCAATAACATTCTATCGGAATTGACTGCTCGTCGTCGCGCAAGACGCACACGTATAGCAATGTGCATAGATGCACGTGTGCGTGCAACAAACGTCAGAGTAGGGCGACACGAACGTTAGAGACGCCTCTTTCACCACAAACAGACAAGCCAATGCCGAAACAAACGGCATTAGCACGCGTCTCTCTGCTGAGAGCGACAAAGAACATTCAACAAGGAGGCCCTACAAAAAATGGCGCCACTACACGCCATGCACTGTACGTTTCCATACAACAACGAGAAAACGGTATATATACAAACTGAATATACTCATCAGCCAGTTTATGGTTACGATGAAGTGTGTAGCACTTCATTCGAATGATGAGGCAATGTACAATATCGGCTAATAATAATAATGATTATTGTTATTACTGTTATTGATGACACTGCTGACACAATGAGGTGTTCTAATTCAGTACCGATCATATATCTGTTCATGCGCGTCTGCCCAAAGCAGACGTCACGATTCAACTGAACCGATTGCTTTTGTCATCTCTGCGTACGAACATTATGCACAGAAAACCACCAAACACAAAAAGAAGAAAGGCGAAGCAAAAGATGAACGTAACAGGCGGTACAGACATAACAGAGTAAGAGCAAATGCTAGATAAGCTCGTATAGGTCATAAAGTAAGAAAAATATGACAACAAGCGATAGATGTGTGTGAATGTTTCATTGACGATTAGATGATGCGATGCTGGTAATGATGGAAGCAGTGAAGCAGGTGGGGTGCAGCAGTAGCGAAGCCATATAACGATAACGAGTTACGAGAAGACCTGGGGATTTGAAATTTATCGCAGAGAGAGAGAGAAACCACGGGACCGTATTTGATGGAATAATGAGATTATTGAGGCAAAGGCTTACTAAAATTACCATATTGAAGGAAGGTGACGAGGATGCTGACGCTGCTGCTGTCGCTGCTTCGACTGGTGACGGTGACGGTGATGGTGGTGGTGGTGGTGATGATGATGATGGCGATGATGATGATGATACATTTTATTAAGAATCATTTATACAATGTTACTATTACAGCACCATATGGCTAGTGTTATTATAGATGCATGATCGCAATGATTAAGAAAAATTAAAAAGAACAATGATAAGGTAAATCATCAAGGAAATGAAAACTAACCGCAAATAACCTGAGAACACGACGGAAGCAACAAGAATAATACAGGTAACATTTATTCATAACTACAAGCAGACGAACTAAACTCGATAAAGCCAGTCAGGACGTAAACAAAACGGTATTGACGAAGACCTAGCGGAAGACGCTAGTGTTTCTTTTGTCACGCAAGCGCATCGAGGTTAATGGAAACCGGTCGGCGGACTGCTTCGGACCTTCTCAGAGATACAGCATACACTCCTAGATGAACTAAGGTTGAGTATAAATGCCAGCTTCCATGTTCTTGTCACGAACGACGCTGTCCCGCGGATGCCCAAGGAAAGAGCCCATTTTCTCATAATTATACTGTTCCCGTTAGATGCCCCATTTTGTGACTAAGTCTAAGTTAATAAACAGTTGATGAACATCGACCTAA